TGTCACGAACAGACCTTACTGGCGGCCAGGCATGGTCACAGCCGCAGTGCGGGGAGCCGCGGCAGCCAATCACTCAACTAACCAATCAGAATGGATCACTAGGGAAGGAGAGTGAGCCAACACAAGGATCACTGGGATCACGAAGTGAGCCAGGTGAGCCAGCACAAGGATCACTAGGAGCAAGGAGTGATCCTCAAAGACAATCATTAGTATATTAGATAGCTAGCTATTCCCTTGGAGGACCTGGCAGAGGTTCTCCAGTAAGCAATGCAAGCAGTTGTCTTTACTACTGTGTGAACACTTGCTTGTGCCAATTGTTGTAGACCCTTTGGCTCTACCGAACCTCACCCCGTCGACAAGTCAGACCTTCAGTCTCAGAGAAGTCCCTCTCAGTGGTTAGGGGACCGAGATTCGTCACATTAATACCTTAGTTGGGCCTAGTATACCCCTAAGAAAACTCTACCCCCTATACTCGAAAAACCCTCTATAATAGCCACTACTATAGAGCCAACTTACCACTCTTCTACAGTACTAAATCCATCACCACCTTTGACTCTCTAAAGCTCACTATTTGTCCTGTTAAGCAGCGATATCGCAGTATTAACTCTGTCACTCTGTGAGTAACCGGCTTAGCTGTTTCCAACAGGTTCTTGGGCCTATGCGTGGACATGGAAAGAGAGTGTCATTTCGAGAGCAGCGACTCTCCATTTTCTGCGTCCTTGCATTCCTCGACGAGTGGCCGGAGCTGCCAAACTTCAAAATTGTTGTTCTCGATGACACTGACAACGAGGTGTCCAAGGTCAGGGAGCGCTTGCCGGACTCCAGCCTGGTTTGCCGGGGCCGCGGCTCTGGGGCCCAAATGCTTCAAGGCGTGTTGCTCCATTGTTTGGAGTTGTGGGAAGAGTGTTGGACCGCTTGCATGGACGCATTAGATGATGTCGTTCGAGTTGAGGTGAGTCGTCGCCATGGCCATTTCTTTCAGCTGCATTAGCCTCCTAAAGGACCTAGGGCGCCTTATCTAACGTTCTGGTTAGGATGAGGATATTCTAGATGCTGCTACGATGGCCGACTTCATGTTTGATAACGCTTTCCAAAGATCCAGGCTCTACTTCCAAACCCTCCAGCTCCTTCGCGTATTCTCCGATAGCATCCTGGATACCGGCCGGGATATCCACCAGCTCGATAGCATGTTCTTGGATCCAGAGACAGCAAGGGATATGTTTTGTATGCCCCAGAACGCTCCTTTTGGCCGTTCGGCACTATCGCAGGAGCTCGCCGACTTGAAGAAGAACTGGGAATTCGTCACGAAGTTCCACTCTGAAGCTGAGGTGCGCCTTGTCCAGCAAGTACAAGCGAAGATTGCCGAGATACAAGGTCTCCGCGATGGGGTAGGTCTATCCACCCGACATCATCATCAACAAGTACTTTCACGCTTTGGACAGAGCCAACTAACCCGTAAGAATGCACCTCCAGCCCTTAAATGCAACGTCTTTACGTGAGACAGCTGAGTCTACGAAGATGAATCGCTACATCATAGTATTTACTGTGGTAACTGTTTTGTATCTGCCCCCAACCTTCATTGCAGTAAGTACACCGCCAAACCATCCCGAGTCGACTACCCAGGTGCCTACCGAGGTGCAGAGGTAGACATGGCATCGAGACATGTAGTACTGATTCAAACTCGAACGCACGAACTAGACTGTATTTGGCACAGACCTGTTCCACGAGACAGAACTCACCGAGACCATCAATAAATACAAGATTGCAACGGTTGCCGCGTCGATAGGAACATACATCCTTGCATTCTTGCTCATCTTGATGGTTGAGCGGATTGGCGTTGTCCAATCCCTGTGGGCTTGGGTCAAAGGCTTCAACCCGCAGATGCACGGCAAACTGAAGAGGTGGATTCTAAATCGGCGCTCTGAGCCCGACTTACAGTAAGAAGAGAAGGCATGATGGCCATGACTATGTGGGTGCTTCAACCATCTAGAGCAATGTGCCCGCGGCGGAGTGGTGCCGGAGTCCGAGTCGGAGTAAGCAAGACCAGGGATGAAATTACACCACCCCTGATTCTACATTTTCTCTTTCCATACCCACAACCAGGATAGATCGCTCTGAATCTAAGATTAGGCACACCCAATTCCAAACCCATTCCAACCACTTGCCCTTAAGCAACCGTCACGTTCTTGTAAAACAAATTCGACCTCCTATCCCCCGCCTTACCCGACGCAAAGCCCAAAAACAACCTCACCTGCCCATCGGCCGTTTTGTAAACCGCCAGTCCCTCAGGCTCACGAAACTCAAGCGTCGACCCAGCCTTGGTAATCAACGGACCCTGCACAACTTTCCCCGTGTTCAAGTCGACGCTGGCAAGCTCCGAGTTGACCTTGCGTCCGCTCGCGTCGTACGAGTCCCCCCACAGCAGATACAAATACCGGCCGTAGGCCGTGTACCCCTGAAAATTCTCTCCTTGTGTCTTTGGGAGGGGCTGTTTAAAATTTGCTAATGGGGAGGAAAAGTTCCCTTTTATGGCGTCCGTCAGGGAGTAGACGGATATGTACTTCCCCTTGTCCTTGCCGCTCAGGTTGTACCGCACGACCAGACGGTTGTGCACGGGGTCGATGGAGCAGGTGTGTTCCGTGGCATCCGGGACGGGGGTAAACTTTTGCAGTTTATCTTTACCCGAGGTGCTGGACAGGGTGGTGCCGCTGCCGAACTTGAAGCGTGCCAGGCGCTTGCCGTAGCCCTTGCTATTCGCGTCGACCTCGGTCCAGAGGTATGTTGCTGAGCCATCGGCCTGTGCGCCGAAGGACACGCCGTGGCCGAAGCCGCTTAGGTGCATGTAGCCGAGCTGTTTGCCGGAGAAGTCGAGCTGGGTGATGCAGAGGTCGCCGGACTCGGGCGAGGCGCCGTTGCGGCGCTGGGCGACGAAGAGGCGTCGGTTGGTGTTGTCAAAGGCGAAGCTTTGCTGGACGGTGTCGTCGTGTAGGGTCTTGTGGCGGAAGAGGTCGTAGGAGGGCTTGGAGAGATCGAAGCGGGGTGAGTTGGGGACTACGGCCGTTGCCAATGAGGCTGCCAAGGCGATGAAGGCAGCTAGGCTAAGTCGTACCATCGTGATGGTGATTGCTTGTGACAGGAGAGGAGAAGAAGGAGACTAAACAAAACGCTGCTGTGTCCATGGCAGGGAGATCAATATCTGTGAGGTTTAAGTCGACTTTTGTCAAGACAGTATTGCAAGGTACCTTAGGAACTTTGGTAACTGCTAAAGATAGAGTTCATTCATGACTTTTGAACATCAGTAAGATTGTTGTGTTGTTGCGCCGACTTTGGAGAAGCTAGTCCTTTCCGGGAGGCTGACCAGCTGCTGCTATAATTACGACTTATGCGTAACATTTCGGTGGATCATGGGTCTCTGCTCACATTACTACTTCACTTTTGTTTATCGTAATTTGAGAATCATGTAATACAGTTCAACCTCCACCAGATAGCTCTTGAGTTGAGACAGCATCAGGCATGAATCACTAACAGCATGGATCGTCAAGTGCGTACAGACTAAAATGCCTGCGCATCATCTTCCTTGTCTTACTTCCTTGTCTTTTCACTACATCTATGCATATTTGACACCCAATATCCTACTCTCCAACAAGACGGGGTCTTCAATGCCCCCCACCGCCGACGGCAGCTCCAACCTCTGTGTGCATGGCACCCGAGTCCAGCTTAGCCTTTACCTCCTCGACGCGGTGCTCTATATCTGTAACAGCCCAGTCCTCCTTCTTCATGAGCGGCACGAACAGAGGAGCTTCGGTGAAAAGGCGGTTCATTTCCTCCAGAGGACGTTTGGCCGTCTCGGGAAGGAAAGCCCAGAAGAAAATCGCATTGGTGAAGTTGCAGATGATGAAGAGAAAGTAGTAGCGGTAGCCGATCCGTTCCATGGCGATGGTCGTGACTTGGCCAATCATGGTGTTGAAGGCAAAGGACGTCATGGTGGCGATCGACACGCCCTTGGAACGCGTCTTGGTGTCGAAAATCTCGGCGGGAATGATCCAGGACAGGGGGCCGCAGGCTGCGCTAAAGCAGAAGTTGTAGACCCAAGTAATGACGACGAAGCCCCAGGCTGCTGCGGCATTGCCGTTGTTGGGGTCCGGAGGGAACCGGGCCAGCAGAATGGTGGCAATGATGAAGGTGACGCAGTTTCCGAGGTTACCAAAGATGAGCGTCCAGCGACGCCCAAGGTGGTCAATAAACAGGATGCAAAGTGCCTGGGCGACCAAAGCGATCACCGACGAGATGGCCTGGTATTTCAGTGTGTCGTCTCCAGCAATGCCCATGAGGCCGTAGATCTGAACCGAGTAGTATTGGATGGCCGAAACACCAGTCATCTGAATCGAGCCCTGAATGGCGCACGCAAGGAAGAGACGGCGGAAGCACGACCTGTCTTTGAAGAGCTCGGAATAAGATTTTGCCTCGTGCGCATGCTCAAACGCAATCGCCTCCCTGATCTGCTGAAATTCGGCCTGGACCCAGGCATCATTGACGTCGCCATGGGAGTGCAGTTTCGCAAGTGTTTGAAGTCCCTCATCAAGCCTTCCGTGGTCGATGAGCCAGCGCGGAGACTCGGGGAACAGGAGAATGAGGGCGGCGAGGATCACAGCGGGAACGTTTTGGATGCCGAGAGAGGTTCGCCACTGTCCATCGTCGGTGGGAGCAAAGCCAACATACGTGCCTGGCAAAGTCCGAGTTAGGGTTCAGCCTTGGAGTTTAGAAGGGTACAAGAACCAGACGTCACATACCGTACGAAATCCAGGCGGCAGCCAACGAACCGATACCCAACATGAACTGCTGCAGAGCCGTGACGCGACCACGGATGCTGGGATGAGCCAGCTCAGCCTGATACAGGGGGATGATCATGCAGAGGATACCGACGCCGAGGCCAGCGATGGCACGTCCAGAGTAGAGGTATGATAGCGCTTGAGCTCCGGTCTGGAGAGCACCGCCGAGGCAGAAGACGACAGCACCAGACAAGATTGTCCACCGTCTCCCGATCTTGTCACCCATTGGACCGGCCACGGCGGCCCCGATGAAGGCGCCTCCGGTAAAGACGGAGACGACAGCTCCTCTGGATTTCCGTCCAAGTTAGCCATGGTGACCCGAGGCAATTGCATTGAACTGCAGTGGGAAAGACGTACATCTCTTCGGAAGTGGGATTGAACTTTGTGATGAAGGACTGCGAGGCAATGACCTGGGCAATGACACCCAGATCGTAACCAAACAGCACCGAGCCGAGCGACGCGAAGACGCCGACCAAAAACTGGTACCATTTGGGTGGGAGCGCCATGGTGAAGATTGCCGACAAACTCTTTCTGAGAAAGCAACGGCGTAGCAATTGAAGCAACTCAGACCCACAAGAGCAGCTTTCTCGAAGCTCTTTATAATTTTTCCAGCTTCCATCACGGACTCGCGTCGCAGCTCGCAGCCTCGGCGCAAACCGCGATTCTCCATGTTTTTTTTGCGTGTGGAAACCGAGTTATCGGGTCTTGTTTCCTGCACCGAACCCTGTCGTTCCCCGGGACTGGCACCTATATCAAGGCAGTCGCCCCATGGGATTCGGGGCGGCCTAAGCCTTCTCTGGCACAGCGCCTTCCCCCACAAGCCGCCCAGCTCCAGGTTTTTCTCCACGTGGGGTCCCCGCTTTCACCCCTCAACTTTCGACGCGAGCCCACGACCCTGGCTGACCCCGGCATTGCTTGCACGCGCGCCAATTACGGCGCTGCGCTTCATCGGCTCTCGATGGACCGATCGTCGACGCTCACGTGCTAGTGCCCGGCCAATGCCACCAAATCTGGCTAGGGTCTCAACACCTTGGGTCTAGGCGAGGGCCGAGTTGGAGACAATGGATTCTCCGCGAATCGGACCGTCGATGTCACCAGTGTGTAATTGTTCAATGACTTTCCCCCTCGGTTGTTTGTTGCTTTGAACTCGACCTTGCTTGACATCCTCGCATCCAAACAGAAAGGTATTCTGTGTGCTTGTTCATAATTCATAATGGCTGCCACTTTCACCAGAATCGAAGACGGCGAGAGCCCTTCCATCACAGTGCATCCCTCTCACACCGTTGCAGAAATCAACAAGAACATCTATGGCGGATTCACAGAGTGAGAGCCCCCGCGTCATCTGTCTCATTCCTTGCAAGAATGCTAACCATGGTCCAGGCATATGGGACGCTGCATCTACGGCGGCATCTACGATCCCGGAAACCCCCTCTCTGATGAGAATGGCTTCCGAAAGGATGTCATTGAGGCTTTCAAGGAGCTGAATGTGCCCGTGGTTCGATACCCGGGCGGAAATTTCGTGGCCACATACCACTGGCTCGACGGTGTTGGTCCCAAGGAGAACAGGCCTAAACGGTATGTCGCGTGTGCCAAATCCATCATGGGTATCTGCTCGATGCTGAGTATCTGAGAAATGCAGCCCTGAGTTGGCCTGGATTGGTACCGAGTCCAACCAGTTTGGGACCGACGAGTTCATGAAATGGTGTGAGATCGTTGGCACGGAGCCATACCTCTGCCTGAACTTTGGAACCGGTACCTTGGATGAAGGTTAGCTCAGCTTCCCCTGCAGCCTAGATAATCCAGCCGTGATACTGATACACTGACTACTTTCATGCACAGCTCTTGGATGGCTCGAGTACTGCAACTCGGACCGGGACACATACTACGCCAACCTCCGCCGCAAGAACGGCCGCGAGAAGCCCTACAATGTACTGTCCCAGCCCACTCCCCCTTCTCTTTACCAGTCACCGCTAACCCCCCAACCCAGGTAAAATACTGGGCACTAGGCAACGAATGCTGGGGCCCCTGGCAAGTCGAGCAAATGACCAAAGAAGACTACGCCAAAAAGGCCTACCAATGGGCCAAAGCTCTCAAACTTCTCGACCCCAGCATCACGCTCATCCTCTGCGGCGAAACCGGCTACTCCTCCTGGGACTACTACGTCCTGAAAGAATGCGTAAAATGGGACGTCCACGGCCTGTCCGGGGACACCACCAAGTCCCTCATCGACATGCACAGCATCCACATCTACACAGCCGATAAAGACCACCTCCCCAACGCCACCGCGCCCCGCGGTGCCGAGCGCGCAATCCAAATGGCCTCTGCCCTAATCGACCTAGCACGCATCGAAAACCGCGTTCCCCCGACCGTCCCAAAGCAAAAAATCTGCTTCGACGAATGGAACGTCTGGGACCCCGTCCGCGCCCCCGGCGAACAAGGCGCCGAAGAGCGGTACACCCTCTCGGACGCTCTCGCAGTCGCAGTCTTCCTGAACGGCTTCATCCGCCAGGCCAAGGACATGGGCATGGCCAACATCGCACAATCTGTCAACGTCATCTCCCCGCTCATGACCCACAAGGACGGGCTCGTGAAACAAACCATTTGGTGGCCGCTTTTGCTCTTCAGCAAGTACATGCGCGGCGCTGCCATCGCGCTCAACGTGCGCGCGCCCGAGTACACGGGCCGCACCAACCCGGCTTGGATCCGCGCTACCATCGAGACGCCGCTTCTCGACTGCAGTGCTACCAGAGGGGATGATGGGTATGTCAATCTTGCGGTTGCTAATTTGAGTGAGGAGCGGGACTTTGAGGTTGCGCTTGGGGGTGTGAAGGCGGGCGAGGTAAAGGTGTTTGTGGTGTCGGGGGATAATATTCATGTCACCAATACTGCCGAGGAGCAGCCCGTGGGTATCAAGGAGAGCACTTGGGATGGTAAGGGCAAGTTTACCTTTCCTAAGCACTCTTTTACTCTGCTGAGGTGGAAGGAGTGAATGAAGCGTGCAATTGGCAGGACATGGACGGTCAGCAGGGGTTGCATGGCTGGGTGGTATGGTACATATAGACGGTCATAGATAGAGGTACACTAGAATGGCGATTCAAATCGGCTTGTACGTAGACCTCCACCGATACCTAAGGTATTTACTAACCTCACGGGTGATAAAAGCTCCAAGTAGACACAGCGTAAAAGACCGCTAATTCTATATGCTTGCCTTCCTCACCATTATCGTTGGCTCACACCAAAGAGCCAACTGAGCGCCCCAACCTAAGAATACCCGGGAGAAACGACGCTGTTCCCCGGTCGTCGCTACCACATTCGCTGCCACAGGGTTGGCCGAGGCTGACGAGGACATTACATCCGCGTGTCCGCAGGTTGAAGTCTTGAATCGATATCGCATAGCCTTTCATGGCTCGCTCTCCGGCAACCAAACAAGCTCAATAATCCTATCCCGATTGTTCATCGGCGAGCCATCCGGATTCTTCCACCGCCAGTCGTCCTTCTTGCACACATACACCTGACTGACACTCCCATCCTCGTTGATACTCGCTTCTTGTAGGTCCCACGAGATCTTCCGGCCTGTCTTGTGGAGTGCGGGCCGTTGCGGTCCCATCCGGAAATCGAGGTTCCAGCCCTTGTTCTCCGGCGCCGCGTGGAAGGTTCCCTCAAACTGGCCCAGGTCAAAGTCGATGCCCTTGGGGTAATAGGCGACGCTGAAGCCGTTGGATATGATAAAGTTGTCGGCCGTCTGGAAGCGCTGCAGCGTGCAGTCCTCGCCGCAGATGTGCGCTACCTTTGTGTAGTGCCAAGGATGGGCGACATGCCAGTGCCCCCCGCGGTAGTGATGCAGGGACAACGGCTTGATGCCCGATTCGTAGAAACCCGACGGGTCGCCGAGAAGATCGAGTTGCCAGAGATCAGGGAGCAGGGTGAGCTTGACGTCCGAGTTCTCGTAGATGCACTTGCGGAGGAGGATGTCACCCTGCGGACCCCAGCCGGTGTTTGATTCCTTAATCTTCTCATCCGTTTTGCAGGAGTCATACTTCTCGGTGATGATTTGTGCCATGGGCACGCTTAGAAACACGCCGGCACCGCCAAATGCTTGCGGCCCATGGCGTTGGATATTGTTCACGTCTTCGGAGAAAGTGCCGATGTACATGGGCCTTTTGTGATCGTATTCTTCGAGTTTGTCGGCCAGCGCATGAAACGATGGGAAGAACGTGTCGTCATCGCAGGTCACCAGCCATTTCTTGTTCCTCCGATCCGGATGGGTGTACATTTGAGGCACGAGTGAGAGGTAGCGTACCGCCATAATCAAGGACGGATCCGAGTGATATACATCCACATCAATGCCGACCTTGGAGAGCTTGTCAAAGGCATCCTCCAGTTCAGCGTCTGAGGCGTCGACAAGCATGAGGATTAGCTTGCCGCCATTCGAGTGTCCTTTGCTGTCCGTGAGCCAGTAGGTCCACTCATTCAGGGGGCTGGTCCTTGGATCTGTGAATCGCTTGTAAGTGGTCGACACGCCAAACATAAAGTCGGACGCATTGGCGGTTGCTGGGAACGGTGACTTTGAGACAGGCACCACCAAGGGGTCGGGGCATGTCTCTCCCTGGTATTGCTTATTCACATCGACCACCTTGACCGCGTCGGCAATGAAGTTCTGGCTGAGCTCCGTGACGGACTTTCGGGGAATGTCTTGACGTGCCACTTGCACGTATCGTTTCGTGTATTCAAGCTGCTCTTCGAGCTTGTACTTTTGCTGCCAGCCCCGGAGCCGCTCCATATCGTACTCGCAAGTCATGGTGTATGACGAGTTGGATACCCTTGTCGGCGCAGGCGCCCCCTTATGGCGCCCGTCTTGCTCAACCGGTGTGTCAAGTCTCCCTCCCCAGCCTGCAGACTGTTCGTTGCCCAGCGGTCTCTGTACTATCAACACTTCCTTGGCCGAGGCGGCTGTTCTCATCACGGCTGACCGCACATCCATGTCAGATCGGAGGAGACAGGCGCCGAGGGTGAACAGGGCGATTGCTAGCAGCACCGCCCTCGCAAACGGGTTTCGCATGCTAAAACATCGGTGCGGCCTGGGTAGTGTTGCCCCCATGGTGTCGCTGCGCTGTCGGAACTTGGCCGCTGTTATCACGCCTAAGTCATCGATTTTGCCAAACTAACGCTGGCTTGGCCCGGTTCCCTATCGTCGCTTGTGGGGGTTGGACCATGGAAGGGTCTACGGGACGCAGCAACACCTAATGTGATCCTCCGCTGGCCGGTAAGAGGCAAGAACGATGGACTGGCGAGATCCCCCAGCAGTGCGAGGACAGGGACCGAGCCTGCGAGTCCGACTCAAATCCCCGTAATTGAGGGGAGGACAAATAGATGTGAGTAGATAACTAAGGTAATAAAGCACAACGAGAGAAAGAAAAGAAGGTGCGACAATGAAGGAGGGTTTGTGATCGGATACAGCGAGAGGAACTTAGGTCGAGAGAGGGCCGCGTGTAACAGCACAAGGACGGCGAGGTATTTAGGTACTGTCGGGACAAGATAAACTAAGAAAGATGGACACGGATGTCCGATCGACAGGAGAAGAGCGGGACTGGGTCGGGCTGTCCTTGAACAGAGTGGCACTGTGCTCAAGGCATTGGTTGCCAAATTCTGAGACTGCAAGACTGCAGTGGTGGAATGGGACGGACGCGTCACAGTAAGTGTAACGGGTTTTTGGTGCTCATCTCTACAGTTCAAGTACTACAGGAAAGGGCGGCCCTCCAGGATGCTCCTTCCAGATGGTGTGGAGAGGAGACATGACTCCTGAGGAAGGCGCAACTGATGTGCATTTGCCTTGCTCACTCACCGGAGTGGCACACCATCAACTTGCAGTGAAATCAGTCTCAGCTCTCAAACTGTAGTAGCAGTCATCTTTGGTGCTTGTGTGATACATTGCCATGTTGATAGTAATGCTGTTCTGTCGTTTTCTTCCATCTGAGATATCGTTCCTGTAGCAGTTAGTGCTGGTACATGTAGGGCACTTACTCGCGCAGGGACTTCGAAGGGTGCGTCAATCCAAGGGGTAGGTAGGCACAGCCTGGATGGGATCGGCGGATCTTCAAGTCAGTTCCTGATTCTTTCCAAGGAATCATGTGGGAGAAAAAGACGATTGTCAATCGGAGCATCCTCTAATTACTCGGCTGCGAGGGCAATGCTCACCCCTTACCGTTGTTTTGGGTGACCAATCACCAAAACAACATGGCTTGGTTGCTTGATGATCAACTGGGAAAGAATGCACCCCTACTCTCCAACTTGGCTTCTTATGAGCCCCGGCCGTATCGAGCATTGGCTCCTTTTCAACATCGCAGCGGCCCGATGAGATCATCGGCGGGTCTTTCTGGGGTATGAACTCCAGCCAGTTGTTTCAGATGAGATAGGGAATCCCGGCATCTTGTAAATCAACTCTCAACATGATCCACACAGTCTGTAACATAGTATATATTTGATAAACGTTCTCATAATATCGTTGTGTTCCAAAAAATGTTGGTGGCCGCTTGTCCTACCTACCACAATGATAAGGTACTCGTACCGACTTTCCTTTTTATTGAGGCACCAACAAGCCTCAAGGCCAGGATGAAGGCGTTACAATCACTATCGGCTGCTGTATCAGCGGACAGGTCGCAAATGCTTGGTCAGAAGGTATGGAACTGTAAATTTGAGATGTCATGATGAGGATGGGAAAAACGGTGAAATTCGAGCTGTCATGTCGACGGTCTAAAAGCTTGAACCCCATTCTACTGGTCAAGGTTCGGGACCCGAACTTCGGGTTGTTGTGTTGTACGCCAGCCGACAGCGGCCAGTCATTGAAAAAAGCATTGCCAAGGCGTGCCAGGGTTCGTTTACCAGGGACTTCGAGGGCCAAGACCGGGCTTGGCTCCCGCGTTGCGATCGGCACCTGACTTGACATTGTGCCTCGCATTTTTTAGGGCACAACACCAGAATTTCCAGAAACATTTGACACGTCTGTCGTCTGCAGGTTTACGGATACGTCAACATCAAATATGTTCTAGCAATGACCACTCCGGCAATATACCTATTGTACCCAACTTAAGGATGCGAACTACATACGCCAATCACAACAATTTATAGCCCTTCAAGCGCCCATCCTCCCATTTCTCCAACACCGCAATTGGCCGCTCGAAACGCACCCTTTTTTCGGACCTTCCACTCTTCGCGTTCGACCCCCGACGAGGACGCGTCTCGTCAGCCCAACATATCGCATCAAAAACGCTCCTCATCTCGACCAGAATAATTCTCGTCTCCCCGCGCGACATGTCCACCAGGAACTGGAGCCCGTCCAGCCCGTCGACTGTGGCATGAAGCGCCCCACGCTGCCCCACCACAAGGAGGAAATCCTCGGCCGTGACGCGCGTCGCCCCGTCAAAGTCCATCCGGTATGCCCACATCATTGGCTTGACCCACGGCTTATTACTGTCCCCGCGGGTTCGGGGATACGGCCGCTGCGCCGCCACGCGGTTGGCCGCATCCGACTCGGCACAGTACTGGCATGGCAGCGGGACGTTGTTACTTGGGTTTTGCCCACTTGGGTAAGTTCGTCCGGAGAGGGGATATGGATCCATGTAATAGCTAAGCTCACCCTTTGCGCTCCAGCCCAGCCTTGCGGATGAGTTCGGTTGAGAGGGCTTGCGTCGCTTGGCTCCGCGAGTTTTGTCCCCGGACTCGTCGCCGCCGCCGGTGCGCTTCCTGCTGGGGTTGCGGCCGTCTCCTTTGCTGGATGCGGAATCCGAGTCGCTTCCACCTCCGACGGTGTCACCCTGTAGGCACCATCTCGCAAAGGCAATCTCGTTTCCGATTTCCTCCAGAGCCTGGTTGGTAGGCATGCTTAATCCCACTGTCTCCTCTAGCCACTCGAGTTCGGTGGTTTCATATAAGCTATCAAGCTCGTCTGCCTGAGCAGAAGACAGGGTCGCGGCGGCGGCCTCTTTGGCTTTCTTCGCCAGCACTTGGGGAAAGGCTGAAGCCGGGTATTCGTCGTCCGCATGCAGTTTGTAAGCGGACTGCAAGAGGGCGTCGAACTCCCAACCATAGGCGCGCTCAGGGTAACGAGCGACGCCTGCTAGATGTCGCTTTCTGGCCGATCTCAGATCATAAGCTGCCGGCTCAGCTACCGGCTCAGCTACCGGCTCAGCTACCGGGTCGGCTACCGGGTCGGCTACCGTCTCAGGTACCGGCTCAGGTACCGGCTCAGTTAATGGCTCAGCTACCGGTTCAGCTACCGGCTTCACTTCGTCTTCGTCGGGTCCGAGTAAATCTTTATACCGTGCCGTCAATGCTCTGAGTTGCTTGGATTTTACGCCGAGTTCTTGCCGTACGGCTTCGAGGACCTTGGTTGCCTCTACTCGATCCCTGACCTGGCCTCGCCGGGACATGCGTCTTTCTGCCACTATTTGCAGCAGAGCAAGCCCAATTACATCAGGGGGGAAATCATGGAAGGTCTCATGGAATATCGGGAGCGGAACGCTAGCCTCCGGGTCAGGCAGCACCGTAACTTTCTTTGCGGCAAGCCTGCGTTCTTTGCCGCGTCGGCTCTGTCTCCCAGCATGGGTCTCCTCCTCTTCACTCTCCGATTCGGTACTCGACTCCTGAAACGGAGGTGGTGGCGGGCTCTCCATCCTACCCCGTGCACTGCCCCCACTGTCCTTCATCTCTCGGTATCTCGACGCGGCACCCGCCTCCTCGAACTCTGCCGCCACCCTCCTCAACTCCCGCAACGCCGCGTCGCCTCCCAGCAGCCGCAGCGCCAACATCACTCCGTCCCTCACCCTCAGCCATCGCGCGCAGTCGTCCCGGAAGCACCGCTCGCAGTAGACGCACCCCAGACGAGGAGGCCAGTCCCGTGCCTGCTTGCGCCGCGCCTGACTGCTCCACGCACCGCTCGGGAGCTTCCAGATCTGCGGATCCGCTCCAGGAACGTGCTCCGGCCGCGTTACGGGACCTCGCGTCAGTAATGGTGATGCGGGTGTAGGCGGGGGCGTCCCCGCTGTGCCTGTTTCTTCCGAGCTTACTACCCCTTCCTCGTCCGAGTCCGAGTCCGAGGTGGAGACCTCCGCTGGCTGCTGCTTCCTCGCCCGCTTCTTAGGTCCCTTCAACGGCTTGGAGACCTTGGGCATAGGCCCCGGTCCTACGGGGACATATGTCTCTGCCATTGCACGGTCGTGGGGGTCATACTGCAGGGCGTCAACGTCGTCGATTATTTCGAGTATGTCGGGCGAGTCAATCTCCTCCTCTGCTAACCCACGGTAGGGCTTGCGGCGTCCGCGTGTTTGCGCTGGGGATAGGGAGGGGTCGCTGAGCAGCGGGGTGGGGACGTTTTGCCGCGAGATGAGGCGCGTGCGCTGTACCTCTGGTGATGTCGAGAGGCTTCTGTTTGTTCGTCTTGACCCTCTGCTAGGTGAGTCCGCGAGTCTTTTTCCCTCTTTCAGTGGGGGTTCAAATGCCGTGATTCCTAGTCCTGATCTGAAGTCTGTTGTATCTGCGATGCCGTAAAGATACCAAGGGATTTGCGGTGTAGGAGGCGGTCGAGAGGGGCCTGGGCCAGGGGTGGTAGGTCCCGTTTGACCAGGCAAAGGTTGGAAGGTGTGACGCGTTTCAGGCCGTGGTGAGAAGATATCCGGTGATGGTGGCCATAGGTTTCCGTTACCAGCATTCGAGAAGTCGCGCGGCCCAGGCTGAGAGCGGACAGGATTGGTAAGTCCCCTCTGGAGAAGAACTTGCCGGACCCTTTTACGCATTTCGGGGTTGGTGAGGTCAAGATCACTCTGGCCAAGAAAACGCCACACTTCAGGCTTGGTAAGGTCAAGATCGCTCAGAAAATGCCGGATCTCTTCGCGCACTTCAGGGTTGGTAAATCCCCTCTGAAGAAGAAAATGCCGGATCCTTTCACGCACTTCAGGCCGTGCTGACTGCATGAACAGATCCGGTGATGGCGGCTCCGAGTTTGCATCACCAGCACCCCACAAATCAGCCGCCTTGGGCCGAGCAGCGCGCGGGACGGCTCTCCACGTCGCAGTTGGTGACCAGAAGATTTTCGGTTCTGCAGGTGCAGGGGTTTGTGGGGATGGGGAAGAGAATGAAGAGTCTTCCTCCAAGCTCTTTCCCCCCTTTGCTTCTCCTTTCTCACCTCCGCTTTCCTTTCCTTCCGCTTCAGCACCGCTTTCTCGCGGTGCCAGTGGCGGGCTCTCTGCTCGTTGATTAGGGCCTTTCGATGTGGATGACTTTCTCCTTCCTGCAGTGCTGGGCTTTGGCGATGGTCGTGACACTGTTTCGCTCTCCTTTCCCTGTTGAGATGCCCCGGGCTGAGCAACTTCCTGCTCCCTCTTTCGCTTGCCCCTTGTATTGGGGCCGACTGCTTGTTCCGGCTGTTCTTTTGCCGGTTGTTTGGGTTCTGCCCTTTCCGTTCTTGACTCTCGTCTTCTCTGGGACCGTCTCGTAGCAGCGGTGGGCTTTTTTGTTGAAGTGCTAGCCTCCACGGCTTCCTTGACGGCTTGGTCCATGGACATGGCCCTCGTTACTCGTCTCAATGGGGATATGTGGGGCGCCATTTCGCTTTGAGAGCTTGATGATGTCGGCTTGGTCTTTGCGGGTGGGCTTGGGTCAACGCTGATACAGGAGCGCCAATGCGGGAGATCTCAAGCGAGTCTCCCGGTTGTTGTATGATCGTTGGTTGGAGCTTTTGGTGCAATCCCCGGGCGCTTCTTGCAATGCCCCGTGAATGTTGGGGCCTCAGCTCTCTACTCGGATGGACTTCACTTGCTTCTTCTTTTCGTGGATTGGTGTGCCTCTTCGGTGTAGGACGGGAGAGAAGGTTTAACAGTCCAATGCGTCCCTTTCTTTGACTATCCCTCTACTTCCTTGTTTGTTGGCAGATTTTGGCACTCTTTGTGTGTGGTTGGCGCCAGATCTGGGGCGCACTCTTTATCTTAGGTACATTTTTGTTGTCACTGTGGCCGATGCTGGGTGGCATCCTACTGTGTAGATCCGGCTTGTCCTCGATGAGTGAAGCCAGCTCTAAGGTACATAGAGAAGAGAGATCTTTCAAGTTGAGTCGAGATATGTGTTACTGTTCTTTGAAGCCTGATGATGTCCCACCAGGAGTCCTCGCTGGGTTAGGAATGGTGTTGTCGTTGTCTTCTTTGTTAGTGAGGCACGGTCTTAATGGGGATTCTGGTCGTTTCCGGCGACCTGCCTGAGGCTCTATTGGGACAAAGGAAAAAGGGGACTGAGCTGCAGCGGCAGCAGCAGATCTGTGCGCTTGAGTCGTGTTGCCTCCGATATTTGATCGTTCGTGACATCCCCCTGACAGTTTTGTAGGACTCCATGTCGTGTCGTATCGGACATCAAGATGAATTCTAGAAGGCCACCCATGTTGCGCCCAGATATCCGATAGCGAGTGTCAGGGACGAAGGGTCTTTGGCTGGCTCGTTGAGGGGGGGGGGGGGGTAAAAATCCCAGCAAACTGATAGGGACTCCAGTACTTCCGCAGCCCTGAATCGTGTCCGAGTATCCGCGAGCAAGACGAACAGGACGATCGGGCACTTGACACGCAGAACCTCAAGTATGATCATCTTTGGGTCAATTGCAGGGATGGGCCGTAAACATCCGCCCGGTAACTAGGTATTCTGACCTCCCAATACAACTGCGAAGAGTAGACCGTCACTGCAATACATGATTTGCCCCATCCCACAAACCATCCCATTGACTTATTCCCACCTTGCAACACCGATACCATTGCCTCCCCAGCCCACATCATGCGATCAATTGCCAGTAGAATCCAGCACACGCACAATCGCGTAACTCGTTCCCGCAGCCAGGGCACCAACAATCAAGGTCTGCATTGCACCCCAAAAGCCCGCCTTCCTAGTGCGAATAGCAACCCAGTTCTTGAGGAATCCAAAGACAATCAGGATAACAACCGTAATCGCAACCGAAACCAGCAGGGCCTGGTCAGCCCGGTTCAGGAAGAAATAGGGCAACATCGGAATGAGCCCGCCAACAAAATAGCTGGCGCCCATGACGGCGGCCGAGATCCAGGCGCGTCCGACGTCGGGCTCGGGCAGACGCAGCTCAAAGTCCATCATGAAGCGCACCCACTGGGCCCTGTTGGCCGTCAGCTCGTTGACAAAGGGCTCGGCGGCGGCCTTGCTGACGCCGTACTCGGCCAGGATGTCGTAGATTTCGGAGCGCTCCATTTCAGGGACCGTGGAGACCTCGTGGTTCTCGCGGGCGAACTCGGCTTCCCTGTGTTGTGTGTGTCAGTTTTTTGCTTATATTGTAAAGAAGAGGTTTCGTGAAAGTAGGTCACTACCTACTGGTTAAATACATACCAATGCTGGCGCTCAGTATCAGCAGCCAAATACGCACCAAGACCCATGCTGATCATGCCGCTGCAGAGCTCGGCCAGGCCGCCAATAATGACAAGCTTGGTGTTGCCGAGCGAGGACAGGCCCGCCGTCAGAGCGAAGGGGACTGTGAGGCCGTCCGAGAAACCAATGATTATGTCGCGCATGATCGAGTCGTACTGGCCCATGTGCTTCTCGACGTGAGGGTTGTAAGGGGCGGGGATGCTAGACGACATGCGGTTGGCGACCTTGGGGCGGAGGCGCGTAGGCGATTCCAGCTGGCGCTGGCGCTGGCGCTCCGAGTCGCTGGAGTCGGTGCTGCGGTACGTCCGAGTCATCGCCGACGACGGCGGAGAGTCCAGCCCACGGCTTAGCAAGGGAGTTTCGTCAGATCCGTCGGACATTGTGATGGTGGTTTGGTTGGCTGAGGCTTGAATACTAGTAGCAGCAACGAGTGAGGAGCTGGTGAAGCGAGATGGTAAGTTGCTCGCCAGCAAAAAGCTCAAAGCTCATTGTAATTGAGAAGAAAAGGTCGCGGGTAAGAAAATTCTTTTTGTTCCTGTTTTCTTGCGGGCTTCGATTAGTCGTGATGGCTCGGCGCTGAGTCGTCGACAGCCATCATGTCGCCGGCGGGTGGTTCGATGTCGATGTCGATGTCTATGTCTCATGTCGAATGTGTCGTTTCTTTCGGTTTCGACGTGAGTTGATGTGCAGACTCAACCAGGGTTAGGGTTCTAGCTGACTCATTCCCGTTCCATTCACCATGTCAATCTTCCTACTGCTTTCACCATTGAAGGGAGAGATGCTTTGAAGAAGTTTCATATATTGAGTCTACAACTAGCAGATCCCACTACCATTCTTGAGCTGACGCTTGAACTGTACCAAGGAGTGAGAGGGTGAACCCCTATCTCGATGTCACATATTGCACTCTACAAAGTAAGCACCCACATGCACGGCTCTCGCTTGACTGAGACGTTCGACTTGACTCGTCTTGACTGTGAGCTCATTCAACTTAGGTACCTTGACGGTTAGTTCCGGGTGCTATCTGCTACCGTTCGATCATTCGGCCCTACCTACGTTGTATGGTTCCTGCATGGTGAGGAGAATCCACTGTGCGCGGCATTGGCAGGCTTGAGCCTCACATTAGAAGACCAGGAATAGCCAGTGAGATTGGCAAGGTCAGCATGTCCGGCAGTGGATTCGGCACTTCATCGCCCAGTCCCTTAGCTCAGCTGGCTGTAGGTGTTTCATTGCAATAGCAGGATCGCGAATTTTCACCTCCGACGACCTTCATTAGGCATTTGCATGCGGGCGGACAAGAACCTTAGCTGCAGGTCAGGTACTATAGCCCGACGAGTTCTCAGCAAGCTCCTGACCTAGGCTTTCCTTGCGCTGTCACTGTTCGCAGCCTACTACTTGTAAGGTATTCCTCTATAATACCTATGTATTCATCGCTTACCTACCTAGTTAATGTCAGTTAATCTTCACTGTTGACCTTATGGCGTATACACTTTGATGGACTCAACCATAGCTTTGAAATGTCCTGTGACTTGCTCGGCATTGCCTTCGACATCTTCATCGGAGGCTTTATCCATCTTTGGTATGTTAGTGCGGATGTTGCTGTCCCAGCGCCTAGAGACCAGGGCCAGGCCACTCAGAGTTAGCGCTAAACTACAAATTCGCTTAGCGCAGTCTCTCCCCTGTAGCGAACTAAACGACATGCGTCTAGGTATTCCAGACTCTGTCTTTCACTCTTTGGCGATTGTAGCCATGTTTCCGCCAGACTCTGAGCCTCTGTTTCAGCAACAATACTGAGGCCCGCCAACGATTGCCTGTTGTTTACATACGGAGACAGCGCAAGGTTCTTCCTTGCTTTCCAGACTCTCTCTCATCAACCTTCTCGAGTTTCCATCACAGTCTCTCGATGCCACGGGCACCAATTCCCGCTCCCGCTCGGTGTGGGCTCGCCAGTTCAATCCAGCGATGTTTAAGGGGCTCGGCGCAGCATACCTACTTCTAGTAATAAGCAAGCATCAACCATCGAACATGAGCATGCGACCATGGTTACCTAGATATCATGGAACTGTCCATGTTACTGTCAAGTGAAGAGGCGAACACTTGCCATTTTTTACTTTCCCCACTTTTCGCTTCCCCCGCGTTCTCCAAGGGCCAACCTCCAACGCAAGTGCCGATCCCCGTGGGGTAAACCAACCCACCAACCCTGCTGATCTCAGCATTCCGTTGCTGGCCGATGGATTCGCTAACTTCTCTCTTGGTTCGATACCCCGCCAAGAAAGCACCGAACGCTAACTGTTACTGAGGAAGGGCCGAAAGCTTCCAAGTGAAAATAGCACCGTGCTCCACCACAAACCTCGGTTCGCAGCGATCCATTGGCGGAATCAGCAGGGTACGACTCCAATTGTGTGACAGGTGGATAATCCGAGGTCCCTCCCCGGGGTGCACCGCAGTCTAGCGCCAGCGAAGCGGACGGCCGAGAATGTCGCCGTTGCATGACGCAAACCCCAGGATGCCCGGGCGGCTCGTGTGATCTTGGATCGGACCACATGGCTCGGGCCGGGGGAGGAAGCGGGGAATACGAAGGGTCCATGGAAAATAAATAAATAAATACCGATGACGCCGAGCATGTCTGCCAACCGTCTGCGTACCCTTCCTCTGCCAGTCGACACTGTCAAGCCCCATCGCCGCCATGTTTTCCAAAGAGTTCTGGAGAAGGCGGTCGCTGAGGGTGCGCGACGACAAGCGGACCAAGGCGGCCGAGTTGACGCTCCGGGAGTCGTTATTCCCCCTCTGCCTGGTCACCATCCTCTTCTTCCTCTGGGGCTTCAGCTACGGCCTGCTTGACACCCTCAACAAGCACTTCCAGAACACGCTCGACATCACCAGGGCACGGTCTTCGGGCTTGCAGGTCGCTTACTTTGGGTGAGTGGAAACCATCAACAAACTGCGGACGTTGTGTGACATGAATTGGACGGTAACTGACCGAGACTGGCCTAACAGGGCCTATCCCCTCGCCTCGCTCGGGCATGCGGCATGGATCCTTCGGCACTTTAGCTACCGAGCTGTCTTCATTTGGGGGCTGTTCTTGTACGGCCTCGGCGCATTGCTCGCGATTCCCGCTATTATCCACCATAGCTTTGCTGGTTTCTGTATCTGCATCTTCATCATTGGGAATGGCCTCGGCTCGCTCGAGACGGCGGCCAACCCGTACATCACTGGTGAGAGCGAAATTCATGCTACTATTGCCGCAACTCAGAGTCCAGGGTTAGAGAACGTTTACTGACGACTGATCACCTTGCAGTTTGCGGTCCGCCCAAGTACGCCGATGTTCGCATCAACATTTCCCAGGCCTTCAACGGCATCGGCACCGTGGTGGCGCCGGTGTTGGGCTCATACGTCTTTTTCGTCTTTGACGATGAGGTAGCTCTCCGAAATGTGCAATGGGTCTATCTTGCCATTGCGTGTTTCGTGTTTTTGCTCGCCGGAGTGTTTTTCCTCTCGGACATTCCCGAGATCACCGACGCCGACATGGCCTTTCAGGCCGAGGAAACCCACGCAGGGGAGGACCAAGACCAGCCGTTCATTAAACAATACCGCTTGTTCCACGCCGCCTTTGCCCAGTTCTGCTACACCGGCGCACAGATCGCCATTGCCTCGTAAGACCCCTCTCTCATGATATAGCCTGCCCCCCCCTCTACCTCTACCTAGTTTGGCCGGCAAGACTAACTGACCCCCCATCAGCTACTTCATCAACTACGTGACGGAAACGCGCGCCGACACAGACTCATCACTGGGCTCCAAATTCCTAGCCGGCGCGCAAGCGGCCTTCGCCATCGGGCGGTTCGGCGGCGCGGCCGCAATGCACTTTGTCAAGGCGCGCAAAGTATTCGCCGTCTTCTTAGGGCTCTGTGTCGTGTTCTGCATCCCCGCCATCACGGAGCGCGGCAACACGGGCATGAGCATGCTCTACGTCGTGCTCTTCTTCGAGTCGATCTGCTTCCCGACCATTGTCGCGCTCGGCATGCGCGGGCTCGGCCGCCACACCAAGCGCGGCTCGGGCTGGATTGTGGGCGGTGTGTTTGGTGGTGCATGTGTTCCGCCCCTGATGGGTGCTGTGGCGGATATGCATGGTACGGCGACTGCAGTCGTGGTGCCGTTGGTGTTTTTGGCTGTGGCGTGGAGTTATGCGTTTGCGGTCAACTTTGTGCCGTGGTACCGGAATACGGTGGATGCGTTTTCGGAGACGGAGATTGGGGTTGAGACTGGCAATGGCGGCGAGGGGGGTGTGCTGGAGGAGAAGGTGGGGGATGTGGAAAAGGGCAGGGTGAGTGATGAGCAGAAGCCGGTGAGTGCTGGGATAGAGAAGGTTTGAAGCGGAGATGGTTTGGCAGACCTCCGGGCTGCTGGCCCCGAAGTGCTGGGTATGTGAGCCAGCTGGCGGTTGAGCATCCCTTGTCTCAAGTTAGTATAGATGCTGCTAGTGCAGTTCAACGAGTTACAAAGATTTGGCTCTTTGTTAACAGTTCGCTTTGGAGTACCGGTGCCAGCCCGAACCGAATTGATTCTTGATATGCAACCGCATCGCCTTGTATACACCTTTCTTCCGTCACACGCCCGGTGTTTGCTGTAGAGGGCGGTTATCTGCATGATTGGATCCAACATGTATCGTGGCACCATACCGGTGCCAAACCGGCCTCAGGCTGTCAACGACGTGAACTTGCGACACGATAGGTGGTGCAAAGTGAGGCCTACCGTCGGGCACCGAGCAGAGATCATATCCATGCCTTGGGTTCCTCGCTCTTTCCCGATCTCACATCGACGAAATCCACCTCCTACCTGCCCCAAAGCTCGGCGCAGCAGAGTCAAAACCTTTTTCCAGTCCATGTTCACAGATTCTACCTTTTATTCTTGAACAACCCAGACTCGGCACCATGTCTGCCAACAACGCGAGCACACCTGGGACTCAGGCTGTCATGTTGCCTTCCGGTATCAAGAAAGACGAGTACCTACGGCAGTTGAAGGGTCTGGCCCATTCGGTTTCAGAACTCAAGGCGGCTGGTTACGTGGTGGCACCGCTCTCTGAATCCGATCTGGAACGTAAGAAGAGGTGCATTAAGTGTGGATGCCGCTGTGAGTACTCCCATGACCTCAATCCATATCAAGTAAAGTGTCTTGACAGGCAGACGCTCATGCTGTGACTACTTACCTAGGCTCTCAAAGGGAGCGGAAACCAAAGCCACCCAAGGGGAACCCGGGGAAGAAAGAGGAACAAGCTGGCAATCAGCCCGAAAGTCAAACGAACGAAGTTGGTGCAAAGAACGCAAAAGAGGTCAACTACCGATGCAAATTCCACCCAGGGAAAGTGGTGGCCAAGGTTCGTGTGCCCCCTAATGGTTAATCTTTCTGCCTTTATATCCTCGATAGATCAACTAACCCCACTCCTCCCTTCCCACTCCAGACATGGACCTGCTGCAACGCCCACGTCTCCTCCAAACCCTGCTCCGGAAGCTCCTCGCACGAACCTCGACCCTACACCCCCGGCGAGCTCGAGCGACGATGGCAGTTCCACCCAACACCCCCTCCCTCCTCCCCCCCAAATTCCCCAAACAACAACAATAATAAAAAACAAGCAATCGCCATTGACTGCGAGATGGGCACCGCCCGTGACGGCGAGAAGGAACTGATCCGCCTTACCGCTATCGACTATTTCACAGGCGAGGTGCTTGTTGATAGTCTGGTTTATCCAGACGTGGATATGTTGTGTTATGATACGAGATATTCAGGGGTGACGAGGGGTGATATGGAAAGGGCGAGGAGGCAGGTGAGGTGTTTGTTGGGGAAGGGTGCGGCCAGGAGGGCGCTGTGGAGTTTTGTTGGGCCGGAGACCGTGGTGGTGGGGCATTCGGCGCAGAATGATCTGGCGGCGTTGAGGTGGGTGCATACCTGTGTGGTGGATTCGTTTTTGTTGGAGGTTGGGGAGAGGAGGAGGGAGGAGGAGCAGGCAAAGGAGAGGGAGGGGAAGAAGGATTTAAAGGGGGTGGACTCGGAGGGGGTGAGTTCGAGGGAAGAAAAGGGGGGTGAAGCAGCAAATGAAGGTGGGAAAGCTGAAGATGGCAAGGCCGAGAGACTGAGTCTGTCGCTCAAGGATCTCGCTTTGAGGAAGCTTGGAAGAGAAATCCAGACTCGGGGAAGGAAAGGACATGACAGCCTGGAGGACGCGGTTACCTCGAGGGACCTGGCCCACCGGCACATCGAGAACCTGATCAAGCCGTTGCAGGGCTAGGGGGCAAAGTCTATTATCGCCTCATACGGCAGGAGACTCTATCACGCCTTACTCCTACAGTACCAGCTTGACGCCTTAGAACTGAATGATCGGCTTAATCACCTGAACTCTTGTGTCAGCTGCTGCTATGACAATCACTACTTGGTCGCTTACCTTCCCCGCTTCCATATCTGCGACGGCCGTCTTGAACTCGGCAACTGGATAGACTTTGCTGATCTTGTCAACCGGAAACTTCCCCTCTCGGTGGAGTTTAATAAGCTCAGGGATGAACTGCATCTTCTGTCAGGATTGCTGTGCGGCACGGTCCCGTCAGGAATACCAACCTCTGGAGGATACGAATCCCCTTCAACAACACTCAACCAGTTCTTGAACGTCGCAAAGTACATCCCCACGTCCAGCGTGATATCCTGGCCAGGCTGCGGAGCACCAATCGATGCCGCCGTCCCCCCAAGCGCCAGACAGTCCAGCATCTGTTTTATAACCCTGGGAACCCCCGTGGTATCAATCGAAAAGTCCACGCCACGTCCCCCGGTCAGTCTCTTAATCTCCTCAACTGTATCCACTCCCTGTTCAGAACTTGAACTAGGGTTGATAACATCCGTCGCCCCTAGACTCTTTGCCAGCGCAAGTTTCCCCTCCACAAGATCAACAGCAATGATCTGCTTCGGTTTCAGAGACGCAGCCGCCATCAGCGCCGCAAATCCCACACTCCCCACCCCAAAGATGGCCATAGTCTGCCATGGCTTGGGCTTGAGAATATTAAGCACCGCTCCGGCACCAGTCTGATAGCCACAACCCATAGGCGCGTAGATCGACAGGGACAGTTCGTCCGGATACGGACATTTCACGACGCACTTCTCATGGACGGCCGAGAAGCGAGAGAAGGACGACTGCCCGAAGAATTGCCCGCCCACGGGCCGGCCGTCGGCTGCGAGCTTGGCCGAGGAGCTGCCGTCTGGCCAGCGTGTGGCGGGAATGTTGATGAGTGGGAAGGCTTCGCATCTGGCGGGGTTTTGTTCTTTGCAGGGGTTGCAGTTGCTGCACCAGGTGAAGGAGAGGAGGACGGGGTCGCCTTCCCTGAGGGACTGGTTTTGGACGTGGGAGCCGATGGCGCGGATGATACCCGCCCCTTCGTGCCCGGCGATGGCGGGGTATTGGAGGATGGATTTGAGGTGGCCGTTTTGCATGAGGAAGTCCTGAGGGCATGGTGGGTTGGTTAGCTCGCTGCTAAACTGCCCGGGCCATGCTCTTGGAGGGTGGAGAGTGGAGACCACTTACAGTATGGCAGATGCCTGAATACTTCATCTCGACCAGCACTTCATCCGGCCTCAACTCCTCGATGATAATGGGCGTCAGCTCAAAGTCACACCCAACGTCCTCCATTACGAGGGCCTCGGTCTTGATTGGGAACTGCATATTGAAGGTAGGGCAGGGTTCAGATCGGATTGGTTGATGGTTCCATGGAGAGAACATGAACATGAAGAGGAATAACGCAGAAAACCAGATTCTCACCAGTTCACGGATCAACAGGGGAAGTCTCTTTTAAACCATTCTGTCCCCGCAAGCTAGAACCAACATCCCATCCTACATGTAGGTCTGGTCCCCGCCGTGACACCGCATGATGTGGTTGGGCCCCACAAAGGGAAGGTTAGCCGGGGACGGGGGAACCATGGATGGGGTTGCCTTGGGACGCTCTCACACCCCGGGTTTGTGCTGCATCATCACGCAGAGTCCGATCCATCCAACACATGTAGGTTGCGCAGCCTAGCGGTTCGGAGTTGTGTCTCCCAACTCCCAACAACGTTGGATTGCTGACGGATTACATGCCTGCTGCAGACCATTTCTGGTCACCAATTCCGAGCTTGGCTCTCTAAATCCGAGAATACGCTGCGGCAGTGAGGATTTGGGTTTCGGGCTGGGACGGTTACCCTTTTCCGGGCCCCCGGGATCCATGATCCATCGCACTGGAGCTTGGCATGGATTTAACATGAATTGAAATAGGGGCTTTCTTACCAACATCCGCCACCCATGATATTACCCCAAAGCCCAACAAGCTCTAGATCTAGGTACCTTAGTAATGCAACGGTCACAACCAACCCGGCATATATCCATGTTGTGCGCAGTCTCCCCTGGGAAGCCCGCTTTTATCCGAGCTTAGCATGGCCCGAGGTTTGACTTCTCGGCTGTCGTACCCGGGTCTTGAAGGCTCAGGGGCTAGGTAGGTCATGTTGGAATGCAAATTGTTCAAGTTCAAATGAAAGCGAAGGCAACTAGATTTCGTCCATGCCGTCGAACGTTAACCACCTGCTGATTGTGGATATGACTCTGAGTGCAGTTTCTATTTCTGGGATATGAGGTTTCCATCGCCTTGGCGAGTTGTCCAGGGTCCTGGAAGGGGCTACTGGCCGCCATTCCGCGGCATGCGTTGTACTGTTCCTTCTGCCTAAAATGTGTTGCCTCGGAGCTAGGCTTCTTAGGTGCCTACCCTATCTACCGTGGGTATTGAAGTGTGGCAGGAGCTACTGTATGCTGTCACCGGAAAACGCCAGGAGAAAGCGGGTCCTGTAGTTTTTGATAGCACCCAGCCTGCCCAGCGCGCAGCAAATCGACTCAACTGCAACTGAGCCCCAAACTCTCCTCCATATATGGGCCTGCGTATGGCACGCGCGTAGTAGAAAACCACGTATATATAGGTAAGCTGACCTCTAGAATCTGATTCTACCCTTAGTTTAATAGCGTGTGTAATACGTAGGGAGCTATTGATGAGGCTTCTTTTTTACCTAGATTTCTTGTAATTTCAAAGATCTTTTAACGAAAATTTCAACATTCTTAGCAAATCTTAGCAAAAACGCTCGAAAAAGAGGCCATTTTTCAGGCTATCAATACCTCTACACGCACTATACACACCATCAAACTAAAGGTAGATTCGGATTCTAGGGGTCGGGTTACCTATATATATGTATTTTCTCGTACACGTGTGCCATACGCAGGCCATTATATAGAGGAGAGTTCGGGGCTCAGTTGCAGTTGAGTCGATTTGCTGCGCGCTGGGCAGGCTGGGTGCTATCAAAAACTACAGGACCCGCCTTCTCCTGGCGTTTTCCGGTGACAGTGCCTGAATTCCCATGTGGTTCGGGCTGGCACAAGAACTTGAACCCTCAGCCTGCTCAACTTCCAACCAGTCAAAATTCCATCACATTCTTGCATTGCATGGTGACCGACTTCTTCTTCGAAGGCCGACTGGATGCAGCTACCCCTCTTCCGACTACCGAAACTAACCAAATTCTGGTACTCGTTGCATTGGCGGCTGGCAATGTGGTAGGCTCCCTGGCTCCCTTCAAGTTGCCTTTCTGCCTTGCCAAGCGCCAATGCACAACATGCACGAATATGCGTGTGGATGATAAAAAACTGCCTCCCGTCTCGTTCACAGCGAGGGCAGCACAGCCCTGCCCGTGTAAATAGGGCCCCAACGGCGCCAGAGGTCCCGCATGGCCGCATCTACTAATCGCCGTGGCGTTAGGACCTTATTTCTCGTTCTGTTCCATGATCAGAGTGCTGCCTCGTTAACCGCTTAATTGGAAGAACCCGACTCAGCTTCTTGTCTTTGTTTGAGACTTGGTTGACCTCTGCTTCGACAATTGCCAATCCCTAGGCAGTCTTAGGTTACAGGACACCGCTGTGGTGTATATAGTTTACTTGATGTGTCGAAAGCCCGGCGAGAGCGACCTGTACCGAGCCACCGCACAGCATGTCGAACGAAGCCAGTCAAAGCAATACAGATGGTGGAGTTGAACAATGCAAAGACGATATTTTCGTCTTGGATAGCCCAAAAGCTCCGTGGGTGGCGAGTGGCCGAGACGATGCTAAGGTTGGTAACGACAAGCCGAGAGTTAAATGGATGATATCTGCGATCGAAGAAGCGCTATCAACCCGAGCCAACGGTAAGTTTAACCCCGCTATTGGCTATGGTTACAGGTCGTTAATATCACGGTATGCTAGTGCGAACATTCCAGATGAGTTATCGGCGCGGTGAGGTCCTGGGCAATGAGTTGTCCGCTTTCCTCGAGGCATCCGGATCTCAGTCAGACAGCCATCCTTTGCAAGTTTCTCGAGCTCCCCGAGCTGGGCCAGATGCCCAGTTGCCTTTTATCTGCCGCAGCACTGGCGGATGCGAATGCGGCCCTCTTTCAGCGCCTAAGGGTTCGAGTCTCTACTCGAACCTACCTTCCGATGATTACATACGAGTTCTCGAAGTATTGCCAGGAGTTAGTCCCGAGGTGGAATGCAGGATGCACATTTGCCGGCTTCCAGACGACGTGTACACGTACGAGGCGCTCTCCTATACGTGGAAACTGGACGATAAGAAGTCTGATAATGTTTCTGACGTCTTGATCCGCTGCAACGGGTACGAGACTGCTGTTGGAATTAATCTGGCCGCTGCCCTCCGAAAGGTACGCGAGTGTCACACTTCGAGGTATATTTGGGTCGATGCACTCTGTATCAACCAGAAAATGAAGCCGAGAAGAGCCGTCAGGTCGGAAAAGTGAGCAGCATCTTTGCGAGCGCCTTCCAGGTGGTGATCTGGCTCGGAGACAATGAAGCTGAGTGGAATCCACGGACCCGTTTTCCCTCTCACAGATCCAATATCCAACTCCCCCAGCCTCACTATCCATATCAAGCGTTCTCGGGGGTCTGCGATGTGGTCAACGCCTGGAGAGAAAAATCAGGTTACGGCACTGTTATTCCGCCTGCCACACATTCTAGTAGGCTCCCTGTGCCACAAGCAGAGTGTTGGGACATATCAAAGCACTCATTTACCCCTCACTGGAAGATGGCATTCAAGCCCGACGAATGCCCTCTCTCGATGCTCGAATGCTGGGGAAGAGTCCTCGAACTATTTGGGCGCCGCTGGTTCTCCCGCCTGTGGGTCATCCAAGAGGTGGCTCTTGCTCGTTCGGCAATTGTCCTTTGGGGTGATTGTGACATCTGCTGGGAATTGATCGGACTAGCTGCGGCCATTATCAGGACCAACTACGATGCCATTTCGGCCTATATGCGAAGTCGCAATCACGCCACTCATGTGGACCACAATCCGATATACAACGGTCTCGTCAACTGTTATTTGATGTTCAGATTATCAAAGTCGCAGCTTTATTTTTCACCTCTGAAGTTCAGCTTATTAGAGCTCCTTCGCCTGACTCGGCAATTCCGATGCAAAGACGCCAGAGACCGAGTGTATGCCCTTCTTGGTCTGCCAACGACTGATGATCAAATTAGCCGTAGCATCACTCCCGACTATAGCAAATCTGTCGAGGATGTCTATTGTTTTGTGGCGAAGCGAATAATTGATGTGTCTTCTTCTCTCAACATTCTTTCCAGTGTTCAGCAAGTCGGGCAAGAATCAGCGTCTCGCAAGGAGAAGCAAAGATTCAACAAGAGGATGCCATCCTGGGTGCCCCAGTGGAACATTTTGCTGACGCGCGCAGCTTTAATTATCCACGACATTCCCTCGGCTTCACAACCAATTCAGAGTGTCCAGTTCAGCTGAAGGCTGCAATTGACCCCCTCACGCTTAATCTTCGTGGAATAGTTGTCGACTCCGTGGTTAGTTGCATCCCGTCGATGCCGAGGTGGGACTTCTCATATGTGGAATCTATACAGGCTCGTTCGGGACAGAAATCCAGGGACTCATTGGAAGAAGAAGACTTTGATGATCCTGGCCTGGGTGATCCAACGCAGAACTCCCAAAGTCCTCTCGGAGATCTGCTTCAAAGCACCCTAAAAACCAGAGAGCGTCTACAGAAAGTTGCTCTTACGCTTACCGCAGGTCAGACCTGGTATGGGTTTCCAGTTAAAGATGTCGATGCACATATGGCCGACTATATGCGCTGTCTTTTGAATGGCGGGCTTGGGTGGTCCCTCCGGAAGGATGCATTCGTATCAGAGCAGCCGTTCGAGGACAAGATACAGGAATTCCCCAGCAAGGAGGATCGAAATGTGTTGAAATACCTTGTCCAGTGCTGGGACCTGGAGAGCAGAGTGAAGAACGGTGATGGGGGTCGGTTTCTCGATGCAGTCGCCACAATGTGTTCCAGACGCAAGCGCTTCACGACAAGTCATGGGATGGTTGGCATTGGCCCGGAAACCATGGAGGAAAATGACATAGTCTGCATTCTTTATGGGGCCGAGGTCCCTTTTATCATCAGACCTAGAAATGAAGGGCCGGGATATGTTCTAGTTGGCGAATGCTATATTCAGGAACTCATGTCAGAACACGGTGGGAACCAGGTCCAGCGCGAGGACCAGGCTTGGTATAAGATGACAGAGGCGAAAGAGGCTTGGATTGAACTTCATTAGCTTGTTCCCTGTCCCGAACTGTGAGGGAGAGGGAGGGGGCGGCAGGCTACGGTTTCATATACGTCAAGATGTCAAGATCCAGGGACAGAGAACACAATAACATCATGTTGAATTCCAGTTCACACCAGACCCCTTCCACATGCTCTAATGTCGACGATAACCCGGTAACCAAGGCTACCTTAATCTTGAAGCAAATACAGCGTGGGTAGCACACAAGAGCTCCATCCAAGCCCCTGTATGCACTTGAGGCTTGAGGGACTCCAGAGAGCAGAGGGAGGGTGGAGGGTGTACAGTACTTCGTACATACTGCGTAGGTATCTGGGCTCGGAAGGCGCTCGACGGCGCCCGACGGCGCCGACGCCATCTCCCGGAAGCTACTCGGAGGCGTTGACGCCACTTACAGGCTTATGCCGTCTTCGGCACATGGAACGCCTCTTTTTCATTCCATGGGGAATTTGGTACCGGCAGGTCAGAGACATGAGGGAGGCCGGATACAACGGGGTGTTGTCTAACTTCGTTTCTACTTGCACTGTCCCACGTATGGCCACCAATACGGTCACGAATTGTACACTGCAGTAATTCCCGCAAATGACTGCCTGTCTTTGACGAGTTCACTGATACCTGCAGGTTGGAGCTGAGATACATGAGCATGGTCGAATCATGAGCGCTGTCAAGCGAAGAAATTTACTCGGACGAACCTCCATTGCAGATGTCTGACAGCTGAGTACACGTGTACTGCTGCAATCATGAGAGGTTGGGAGTTTACGGAGAAGTCTAATGGGAATGACACTTCTATTGGCAGCGATTGGCGAGCACATGGCCTGCTGAGGTGCATCTCTCTTACTTACAGCATGACAACTGTCTGGTGCCAAGTCTGAAGATGCAGCTGATTTCTGTGGCTCTCATTGAACAGTTTGTACTCCGTATGTGTGTATGTACAGTACATTACTGTATTGGATGTAGTTACGAACTGGCCTGCACCACCCGTGGTGCTTACCCCCTTTGGGCACAGAGCCTGAAGTCGGGCTCCTGACTTGGGCTGCTGACTTTCCAGTTCAGGTGGCATGCAGAATGCCAGTCCAGGCTTTCGGGTTTGATCGTTCCACAGACTCACAGACCTACGCCCGGTAAGCACTCTCGTCCTTAACCTTCTTGGCCGCCTAAATACAAGCTCGGAGAGGAGTGCCTGCCACTGGACGTTACTGGCTCAGGAACATGGACAAAGTCAAGGCGAGCACACCACCACCACCATGTCGGACCCGATGTTCAGCCACGGCGCTACGCCACGCTCCCCAACCTCCGGGCAGTGTCCGGTTCTATCGGGTGAAGACAGGATTCTTTCAGAATTGAAAGGCCCGTACAAGGTAGTGCACACCGCAGAGGTAATGCTAGCACTAACACCCCACTTAACTCCCGACTTACATTTGAAGTTCCGACTCGGGCGCATATACGGCGCAGTCCGCAATCAGGGTTAGGCATGTGCCGCCGTCTCGGCGTCTCCAATGGTCGGTCTGTACGGAGAACTTGTAGAAACATGGCATGTGGCGTCCTGAACGTGTGCATTCCTCCGCTGTTTTTTTTTTTTTTTTTTTTTTTTTTTTTTTTTTTTTTTTTTTTTTTTTTTTT